AATTTAACATACAAATACAGAGATTCTTAAACTAGATCGTAGTTCTTCGCTTGGTACCGTTTCCAAAGACTTTGAAAACGCTACCAACCCAGGTCTCACCGCGTGGAGGTGACTACGTTCGAGACCCGGACAGTGGACAATCCCCACTGCCCCCTTCCCTATTAAATTGCCACCCTATTATACGGAGCGAATATTGGAGAAGGATTTTAGACGATTGCGAACAAGACTCTAACTATTGACTCTAACTATGGACTAACTATTGACTCTAAATGGAAACTAAGGTGAGAACAAAATGTCAGACTTCACTTGGGCACCAGAGTTCGAGCCGAGCAGGATACTGCACCCGAATGACGATGCCTCAGCGCAGGAATGGCCTGACCACGACCAATCCGTCTCACGGAGCTTACGCACTGCACCTGGGAATGGAACAGGAACACCCCAGCGACTGACGAGACAGGCCACCCGAGATACAGGACCACAACTCTTTTCTCCCTCTGGTACTCGAGCAAAGTCTGACTGGTAAACTACTATTCGCGGCGCGGGTAAACTAAAACGCGAGCAAAATGGATTAACTGAAACGAGAGAGAGAGAGAGAGAGAGAGGGATGAAGTTAAATTCGCTCCGTTATAGGGTGGAATTTTGGAAGGCATACTGCACACTAGTACCGGTACCCACACACTCATACTCATACCGCACACCGCACACGCATACTGGGATGGGATGGGAAAAGGGGTGTCTCGATCGGCCGATCGAGTGACTCGAGGAGCGTCGGGGCTCTGTACTTATACCCTCTCGGGGATCGACGGTTTGGGCAAAATGACGTCTGCGCAAAATGATTGGCCGATTCTTAGAAGCCACGACTTCTGATTTGCATATTCGTTCCCTCCCGTATTTACTGATAATCGGGCAGGATTTTTTGGGTCATTCCAATGGGAGTGACCAGTTGACCATTGACTTTAAGTACCAACTCTTAGGATTGGTCATTCGGTCATCTGGTCAAGGATCGTGAAATGAAAATTCTAAGATTCGTTTCTATTAATTTATTAATCAGAATTTGGCCATTTTCATTAATCGTTTATGGTTACTCGGGTGATTTGAAAGCGAGTGACCACTGACTTATAGTAGCCATCCTCAGGATTGGTTATTCGGTCATTTGGTCAAGGATTGTGAAATAAAAATTCTGAGATTCGTTTCCATTATTTTATTATTCAGAATTAAATCATCTAAATAATCATATAAATACTGTACATTTCTTAGAGTATATATTAAATTAATAGAAGATGAACGAAATAATTAATC